ATGGCATTATGCCTGAAAACGACCCTAACCAATCGCCAACCAAAGAAGTCAACGCGAAAGAAAAACTCTGTTCTTACGGCCGCCATTTACGGTTAACGCTCTTCGTTGGTGCTTCATAAAGCCTTCCTCAAAACTGTGCCAAGGCAGCATTTGTTCCGACGCGACAAAGACACCGTCTGCCTCCGTTCAGTGTACAAGGCTGCAAGTTTATGGACATCATTCGAGCGACGAAAAAGCATTTCCCTTGGTTCCAATATTGAAACGGATGCTCTTTACCATACCGTGGTCAAGTCCCTACAGGGCAGATGAGATCTAAATAGATCTGGCAGCGTTTATTGGCAAATTCAAAGAAAGGGAAAGGAACACATTTCGGAATCTCCAGTATTCTATACACGGTGTCTTGCTCCTGTTAGGAGGACGCCATGAAATAATGAGAGCGTCGCCAAAATGATAAACAATATAAAAACAAATAGCATTCGTTGTTTGTCAGTCGATGCTGATGATGCTGATGATCATGATGATGACGAGAAGAAGAAGAAGAAGAAGAAGAAGAAGAAGAAGAAGAAGAAGAAGAAGAAGAAAAGAAACGAAATGCTCAAAAATGAAACCATTAAAAATTAAAAAAAACGGAAAGATAAAAATCGTGTCTGCAAATAAAATTAGCTTCTATTAGAATAAGCACTATTTTAAAGCACTTGGCTTTCATTAAATCCAACACATCACAGAATCCATAAGAGCAGAAGAAGAAAAGGACACATGGCACAGTGGATAAAGTCGTTGGTTATCTCCAGTGACAGAACCCAATGAGTGTGAGTTCAATACCGGTTTAAGGTAGTGGAGAACATTCAGAGGGGAATTAATAGGAGATAACTGATAACTGACATCCTTTAAAAATATGGCACGTGGAACTAGAACAGTCTACCCCAGTGAGCGAAATAACGGGTTCAGTTCGATATTCTGAACATGGCCGGGGCGTACAACGCCCGAAACGTTGTAATAAATATGGCGACAAAGAAGATGGAGCTGCGCCGATTTTTTTTTTTAATGGGGAGAGAATATCTCCGCATTAAAAAAATTAAAAAATACAAACACAACTATCATACAGGCCGCGACTTCGTATTTTTCATCGGGCCTAAAAATGATTAATTTCTTTTTTCTTCCTTTTTATACTTTCTTTTCTTTATTTATGAATAATTTTCTTCCTTTCTATCTTTCTTTCTTTTCGTTAGCCATTAACAAAATTCTTTCTTTTTTTAGCTATGAACAATTTACTTTTTCTATCTTTCTTTCTTTTGGTTAGCTTGGCAGGAAAACATGGAGCCAGAAGGGTGTTCCACAAACGAGAAGTACGAGAGAAGAAACTGTCAGCATAGAACTTACGATTACATCTATCCAGATCAACTGTAATTATTTATTTATTTCGTTAGCTCTGAACAATTTTCATTCTTTCTTTCTTTTCGGTAGCTATGAATATTTTTTCTTTCTTTTCGTTAACTGTGAGCAAAATCCTTTTTTTTTTCGTTAGCTATGAACAAAATCCTTTATTTCTTTTCATTAGCTATGAACAAAATCCTTTATTTCTTTTCATTAGATATGAACAAAATCCTTTATTTCTTTTCGTTAGCTATGAACAAAATCCTTCTTTTTTTCGTTATCTATGAACAAAATCCTTTCTTTCTTTTCGTTAGCTCTAAACAAAATCCTTTCTTTTCATTATCTATGAACACAATCCTTTTTTTTTCATTATCTATGAACACAATCCTTTCTTTTCATTATCTGTGAACACAATCCTTTCTTTTCATTATCTATGAACACAATCCTTTCTTTTCATTATCTGTGAACACAATCCTTTCTTTTCATTATCTATGAACACAATCCTTTCTTTTCATTATCTATGAACACGTTTCTTTCTATATTTCTATCTTTCTTTCTTTTTGTTAGCTATGAACATTCCAACGATCGCAATGACACAATGAACACGAAATTACTTTTTGAACACACTAATAAAATGTCTTTTGATGAACTTTCTGTTTATTTCCTCAGGTTCAATAAATCGGCTCTGACAGGAGATTCTGAACTGATCACCGATTTTTTCTAGGCAAATATTTTGAAACAATGCATACACAGATTGCCAAAATATTATGAGTAATGATATGTAGTAAAAATGTCAAATACTGCCTCATAACAAGTTCATATGTCATGGTTACAAGCATGGTAAATCAGCCTGTAGTGTTTCGTTTTATCTATAAGAAACATTCGTTCTTATACTGAAATCTTTCTTAGTTTTTGATATCATTCTTTTTTTCTTTTTTTTTGTTGTTTTTTTTCAAATCCACGAATTTGTTTTGTTCATGCTAAGTCTTGAAAACAAAACTATATAAAATTGTTATAAGCGTAAACTTGTAATTCTGGTTAACAATACTGTTTGGAAACACTGGAACAAAAGGTTGAATGAAGAACATGTTTAATCACGAGATACATGGATTCATAAGAGAGTAATAAAGAATACCGTAGTTCAGTGCGGCAATGCGTAGAACTCAATGCTACGCCTTGCGAACATCTTTGGGACGACCGTTCCTATGAGCAGACGTTCTACTCATAGCATTGGATGAGTCCATGTCCAGCAATTAGTGTAGCGAAGGTCGTTTGTCTTTCTATACAACACCTCCCTTTTTAATATACTTATTCTCTTTTGGATACGCCTTTTCTCATTGGAGGGTTCATTTCCAATACATGTCTTGGATTTCTTCTTCTTTTAATAAAACAGTGTGTTCGTGTATTAATAAATAGAGTTGGCAACTCGAAAATATCGTACAGTAAATCCATAGGGGAACAGTCGACCAGATTGTTCAACTGTCGAACTCTCTGACTTGAGCAGAGAGGAACCGGGACGAGGCTTTGCCGAAGGGGAAAGTTTTGTCCGGGGAGATAGACAGACCCTGAACCCGTTTATGCGAGTTCTAAGGGAATATTTTTGGCCGTGCCTACGAGCTCGGAGAACCCACGGTAAACTCGGCCTTCTGCCACATATATCCCTCTTGGGGAGGTCTGTTAAGTATAACAGTAAATCCATAGGGGAACAGTCGACCAGATTGTTCAAATGTCAAACACTCTGCCTTGAGCAGAGAGAAACCCGGATGAGGCTTTGCCGAAGGGCAAAGTTTCGCCCGGGGAGGTAGACAGACTGTAAACTCGGTCTTGTGCTAGATACATCATTCGTGGTAGGGGGGGCTGTAAAATATAACAGTAAATCCATAGATAAATATCTTTGTTGGATTTTTATTTCATTCGCACATTTTTGTTTTAATCAGTTTAAATGCCTTTTTACGTCGTCAATTACAACCTTGTACCTTAATACATTACATTGCCAATACGATGTACAATGCCATCATCTTTCCAACGTTCCTTTGCTGTCTCGTAAATCCTGAAGAAAACCTTATCTTTTTCTTTGAGAAAATTCATAGTTAATTTCGTTCTATGCCAACTTTTTATGTTCCTTCCAGGAAGTCAAACACCGATTTAAATTTCTTGGAAAACAGTTTCTATAGTGACATCCTCAATACTGTATTAGGGTAAGAGTCAGTCTATAAATTCTTAAAAACTGTTAGCGCATTCTTTCTTCAGTTTTCTCCCGGTTTGATTTTTTTAAAGTCATTTTAAACGTATCAACAAAACGTTCCGTCAGATCATTTGATCTTGGGTGATATGGCGGGGTTGTTATATGTTCAACTGCATAGTATTTGTAAAAATTTGGAAAGTCACTCGACGTAAATTGCATGCCATTATCGGACAATATAGTATTTGAAATTACGAACCGGGAAAACAGTTCATGAATAAAATTTATAATTACAGAGAACGTAGGTCTTCAACACTTAAATATTTCAGGCCATTCTGAAAAACTATCGATGACAATTAAATAATACTCACCATTCAAAGGCTCCGTGTAACCAACATGCAACCTAGACGAGATTTATCAGTGTAGGTCAGTGGTAATAAGCTACAGGTGGAAATATTTCCTCTAGAGCACAACCTCTGTATGACTTAACTAAATTTTGAATATCCTGATCCATTTTAGTTCATATACGTAACTTCTCATGAAGGTATTCATCCGGGTACTTCGGCGTGGTGTAATGGTTAGCAAGCTTGTCTCGCTAGATTAGTTACGACTAAAAAGTGAATTGGATCGTCACTAGGTGCTCCATACTTTCGGCCTTGTGCCACATTTAAGCTACGCTTAGAAAATAACCATAAAGGAATTCATTTGTGACATTCTGTGTGTCCAACGTGAAACTGCTTTAAAATACTTTTTTTTGTAAAGAATCAGGAATTACTATTCTTTCAGCGTACACAAGTACTTCATTACAGATGGAAAAAGACTT